AGCCAGACTACATGCTCTTCAGAAACTTTCCCTAAAGGTTGCTTCCGTATTTGTAAAATATTCACCTTTGCACAGAGGTAGTCAGGCATTTTCTTGGGCTGGAAATGTCACTTATGTAAACATCTGTGGATCTAAAAATGCTCATGCTGTGGTGTTCATAGTGCTCAGCCAGTAAAAGCCACATTCATTTCAAGGAAGCTCTGTCCTGTTTGAGTGCTGTGAGGATTGGCATTGCCTGTTTTGACGGTGCTGCACTGAGGCATGAATTTCTTTTGCATCTTATATAAAAAGAGATTTGTCTGTTCTAATAAGCTTTGAAAGTCTGGAAATCCAAGCTAAGAAAATTCATTAGCTGAGCCAGAAGTTCCTTGAGGGAATTGGTGGAATGGAAACATTTTAGATCAGCATCCCAAACACCAAGCCAGCCTCCTATAAATAATGTTTTGGTTTAACTGGTTCTAAGAAAGAATCTATCTGGCAGATGTGGATATGCTCATTTTCACTATGCAAATGAAAGCAATGCCATAGTTAAAGCAGGTCTAACTGCCAAGGTGAATAAATAACACAATGTTCTGAAGTAAAAACAATACATGATGTCTTATTCTCTCATATTCTATACTTCTTTCATTTGACAGTCCCTTTATTGCTTCAAAAGATTTGGAGACATTCTTTATACAGCACAGGTCTACCAATGACTATAAACTACATCCTTCCTAATTCCAGGAAATAGCCACAATGGCTTTCTGGTGAGGTGACAAGGAATTAAGGGGCTCAGTGCAAGAGGGCAAATGGGTGGCTGGGAACCCTCTCTCAACAGAAAAAGGCAGGATGGAAACCAGAGTTTGGGCAGTGATGTCACCTAGAAGAAAAGCTGCAAGCTAGAGAAAAAGAGAAATGTTTGATTTCTGTTTGAATCCAAGGCTTTGGCTATAGGGGAAACAAGACTCTTTTGTGGTGCCAGTACTATGAACCCCTCCATCATAGACTTAGGTTGTACATTGCAATGCACCGGCATCCATCTGTTTCGTCAGAAAATGGGGTACACCTCAGGGGGTGAAGTCAACCCTTTGTGTTAGCAGCACCAAAATGGCCTCCCTGGGACACAAACCTGGCTAATGTGGATGGAGGTCCTGGCTGCCCAGATGACAGGACCCCACTCTTGGTTTAACTGGTATGATGATGATGTATTTCCAAAGGAAATGATATGTATGAGATGTTTTCCAAAGGAAAGCAGAACAATATGTTTGGCACCAGCTGGGCTGCGGGAGTAGCTGGAAAGAGGAGTACAAGGCACCATCCAATCATCCTAGGAACTCCACTCTGGATTTGTGTAAGGTTTACTCCTTAGCCTTTCCTGTTTCCACAGATATCCCACAGGGCAGTGGAGGTTTAGGGTCAGAGTTTTCCTTCTCCTAGACAGGCTATCTTCCCAGGTTGATGAGCCCCATCTGCCCCTCACTTCCCTCTACAGCACATACAGAAACCACCTTCTTTCGACCCACTATTGGCCTCATGCACTCAATCACCAGAGCCTTTCTTTGCATGCAAGGGAAATCTCTAACTCACCAAGGGTTTGTGACCCATTGACTACCCTCACCTGTTTTACCAGCCTGTCAAAGCTGTTCCCAGGATGTGGCTGCTGCCACATGCTGACAGGTTCTGGGAGTCACAGGTGAGGGCTGAGTGCAGGGTGGGGACCATAGGTGGACAACCTACCCCAGAAGGAGGATGACATTTCCCCCACCTGAGGTACTGCCTCTTCCCAACACCTGGGTTGTATATATGTGTAAATCATAAAGACACCACAGTCTCCAGACAGACAGAGCCAGTGTGGTGTAGTGGTTAAGAGCGGTAGACTCGTAATCTGGTGAACCGGGTTCGCTTCCCCACTCCTCCACATGCAGCTGCTGGGTGACCTTGGGCTAGTCACACTTCCCTGAAGTCTCTCAGCCTCACTCACCTCACAGAGTGTTTGTTGTGGGGGAGGAAGGGAAAGGAGAACGTTAGCCGCTTTGAGACTCCTTAGGGTAGTGATAAAGCGGGATATCCTCTCCGCTGTACCTCATTTTCAAAAGGAAACACAAACCCTGGGTGAGCGCTGGAACTCTAGGAATCTCACATTGCTCAGAGATTGGGGTGGTGTGCAATGCTATGATAGTTGTGTGGTACCTTTTTGTTTGCAGGCAATGAACCTCTGTATGTCTGATCTACTAAGCACAAAGGATAGGGCAGGGTTGTTGACCTGATGCCTTACTTCTGGGTTTCCCAAAGTCATCTGCCTGGTTAGCTTTGGAAAGAGGATGTGGAACCAGCTGTCTGATCCAACAGATGTCTTCTCAAGAGCTTTGTAGGAGCAATTAGAACTCCCACAGGCAATCATTATTGCTCTTGCCATCTTTCCACTGATTACAGACAAAGCTGGAAGTGTAACTCTGTAACTTCCTTTCTTCAGGGATATGCTTTACCCAACGCCTATTTATTCAGAATAATATGAAGCAGTTGAAGTAAATGGTATCCCCTTCATAAAGCAATATTGATTTTTGAAGTTTAGTTTGCAGGTCCTCAGCAGACATAATTTGCACCATAATCTTTGGAGTGTAAGAGCAAAGAAAACAAACACTGAGCAAAATTTTATGGTCGTTTTTATAGGCTGTTGTTGTTAAGAGGCAGTGTGTTATTGTACAACTCCCGTTCATTTCTATATACAGCCCACAGACAAAAATTATTCTGTGTTCAAGCACCTTTATGTTTGAGAACCTATTACAAGTGTATACAGTGGTCCAAACACCTCATGTTTAACAGTCAAGGACGACCCCATGCAGACATGCCTTCTGTTCAGGTACTTTTAAGACTCCTTATTAATTTATAGTTAGATAATGAGAGCAATTGGTAGTATGAACAGCAAGCTGTGATTTATCTCTTGTTATGCAATGTAATTTTTTTCATTAGCACAAAACATAGAGGAAAGCTGCAGGTGAACTTACTGGTTGGTGACCATGAATCAACATCCATTATCTAGCAAGGAGGTAGGGGCTGGCACCTTTCCAGAAATCAGGAAGGACAATTGAGGCAATTGACTTGCTTTGTAAAGTTTTGAGTATTAAATCATGATGCATATCAGAGATAATGGGAAACCAGATTACATCTAGAAAGGGGATGTAAGAAAGACCATGACCAATAACTGTCCATTGAATCTTGTCTTGTCCTGGAAAGGCAGGAGTTAACTACTTTAATACTTAATGGCTCTATTTTCTATTCCATACCTGAACTAAATATATGCAGCTTCATTCAGGCTGAGTTTATACATTTTAAATTGCCTATTTCTTCAGTCTCAGCAATGCATTAGCGTAAGCTTTTTTCTGCTAAAAATAATATTTACTTTTTCAAATGCTGTGTTTTTCAGACATAATTTTACATCATTGTCAAGTCTTATCTCTTTAAAACATTAGTTCATATGCAGGGCGACGGAATTGGTAGGTGTTGCCTAGAATTAGGATTTGTTCAGAAGTGAGTTTAAAAACATCTGCATTCTCGTTGGCTTGAAATGCAGTTGTATCTTTTTGTAATATTTTATTTTATGGGGATGGGTCTGCTTCCTAGAATCCATGAAGAAGAAACAGGGTGACCAGCTGCAAAGGAACACTGACTCTTGAGCCTTTTACGCTTGTATTGAAGAGATGCTCAGAAGGCCCAGTTTCTCTTATCACAGTATGGCAGGAATAGGGAACTTGTGGCCCTCCGTATGTTGTTGGACTCCAACTCACACCATCCTTAACCATGGGCCATGCTGGCTGGGGCTGATGGGAGTTGTAGTTTAACAATCGGGAGGCCCACAGGTCCCTCATCCCTGGTGTATGGGAAGCTGTAGCTGCCAAAATTCTTTCACCTATATATCTACAAAGTAAAAAAGCAGTTCTATTCATCCAAGCATCTGTCCACCTCTAAGAAGGAATACTGTCTGTTTCTTTATTATCCATGTGAACAGGGTGTTGTTGGCAATGCCACTTAAATAACACAGACGTAGTCCAGAGAGAAAAGTCTGAATAGCGCCTTGCTGAGCAAAACTGAACAAAAACAGTTTATAAATTGAGGAGAAAGTGTATAAATTGAACAGAGAAGGTTTGCCTTTCTCACTTCAAGCCTTGTACACGGCAGGAAGAGGCCCTCAGAACCACACACATGCTACCTCAGTGAAGATCATGCCACTCTGCTTGGTTGCTAAGAACCACCTCCATCCATCCACCTCTTGGCTAGTTGACTTTGACATTAACAAAATTACAAACTGAATGATCCCTGCTGCAAGGTTCCACACAAACACCATCTCTCCAAATACTATGAGTTCCATGAAGCATCTCAGATTGATTCCACCTATATGGATTTTCTCTTCTCCATTTTGTCCCTTACTATCCTTTTATCCTCTTACAACACTTGGTTGGTTTTGATTTGGATTTAAGCCCAACATGGACAAAGAGAATAAACCCAGCTAATTAAGAATAACAGGCAATTTGAGGAGGGTGGCAGTGACTGTTATTTGGCACTGAATGCAACCAATCTTGACCATTCCTTCAGGAGTAAAAAATTCTTTATCCATCAGTGTGTGTGTTGCTATGCAGGAACGATTCTATACTAATGTGTAAAGTGAAGTGCTCAGTTTCATAATAGCCCAGTGTTGGGGGCAGTCTCCAGCTGCCAATTTGATAATATATTATAATCATGTGAAAATATATCGTAAGCCGGGGGGGGGGACACTTTTGAAGCAGCAAGGGCACTCAGTTTCAGTCACCACCTGTTAACCCTTTCCCCTTCCAAAGCTAGTTAAAAGAATCATTCCCCACTGGTGGAAAAATCAACCTTCTGGAGTTATAAATTGGCCATGCTGGTTTTGTTCTTTCCCCAGGTGTATTGCGTTTTGACGTTGCTGCTTTCATGGCAGGCATTTTTTTTCCCCAGCATGAAGTGTACAGTGACTTATTAGCCTTGAAGTCTTTTCTCAGATACAGTAAGTGGTGCAACCCCATTGACTTCCATGTCTACCCTTGAGGCGAGAATTCCATTCCAGAGACTATGTGCTTGCACATTCAGCAGTCAGACACTGTCTTTGCTACACTCCCCTGAGACATAATTTCGGGAGTCAGTCTTCATCTTGATGCCTTTAAAAAAGAAAACCAATTGTGGTTGTTGTTCAGCTCCTGACAATTGTCACCATTAATCAAGACCCCTTCCTTTCACCAACAGTGCAGTTGCTTCTTCGAAGTTGTCATTTCAGCAAGACAAAATACAAGGGGAAATGAGCACGCATTCTAGAACCAATGATTATACTATGCAGGATTATTGCTTAGACTGCTTTTATATTGATAACCAGCTAATGTTTTGAGTTTAGCCTCCTGCCCTGTTTGTTTGGGGTGAGGGAGTGGGGAGTGGGGAGGTGGTGGAGGGTAACTTTGCAGTGCCATAATTTATTTATTTATTTATTGGTCTTATTGAAACATGATACATAACTGGGTTAAGGCGAGGGTTGTGGCCTGGTCTAGCTCATAGAGCCTGACCTAAGGGCTCTTCCAGACAACTTGTTTACTGAGCATTCATCCTGATTTGCTTGCATAAAGTTATACATTGCCCGTTCTTTACTAAGCATACATTCAAATTTGTTTGCAGGGAGGTTAAATATCAATGAGCATTCATCTTGATTTGCTTGCACAAGGTTTATGTGGAGGTTACATGATTCCTGCTTTTTACTGAGCATCCTTTGTTTTCTGGGAAGGCTATATATATCAATGAGCATTCATCTTGATTTGCTGGTGCAGAGGTCTTCCTGTCAATCACTTATTCTGTACTTTTTAGTGCATTTCCCCATCACCTTCGAAACTGCAAAAACTCATGATACAGCTTCTGACAAATGCTGGAGACACACCTCTTAACCATGGCTTTTGACATTTGAGGATTCAACTTATTTCTATGATTGTAGGTTTGTTTAAACTGTTTTAATACTGCAGTTTAATGTTGTAACCCATATTGGGACCTTTGGGTGAAAAAGAAGGAGGAGGAGGAGCATTTTCAACAAGCTGAAGCAGTCATGTGACTGGGCCCTGAACTACTTAGAATAACAAATCAGCCCTTAGGCAACCAATTATCAAATAGCTATTTATTTCTTTACAGTAGTTCTTAGGCACCCAATAATTAAGGTGCCCTGGATGAAATGCAACACATATTGTGTCAGAAAGTGCAAATTTGGATCACCTTTAAATGCAAAGTGGATCAAATTTCTCCCTCTTTCTTCATGCACTACTGCTTCTGTGCAAATATTGCTTGTTTTGGAGAAGCTGGGATTAGGAAAGACACTGCCGAGCTTTTTCTAGAAAACCCAGATTGCATGAGACAAACCTGCCTATATCTCCCATGGTAAAGGTTGGTGGGGGTGGGGAGACGCCTAGAAGAGGACAGGCAGAAATGAATGCCCATTTTAGGGAGAATCAGGGCTGGCCTCAACCCCAGGGTCATGTACCAGAAGCCCAGAAGTAGCTCAAGTACAACTACGGCCTCCTTAACAACTTGGTAAATAGAGCTGTCAGCTGAAAAGGTTAGTGGAGCATGATGCTTCCCATGTAGCGTAAGGTTGGCTGCATTTTGCCCCCGTCCTGAAGCAACTATCACATTCACACCACTGAGGATGGAAAGATATTACTATGGCAACAAATTACTTTCATATTCAGATCAAGCAAAAATAGATCTCCCTTCTCCTCCTCCTCCATAGGAAGCACACGTTCTGAAGTGCATTCAAGATTAAAGGTGATAAGCAGAAACAGCTGCAGGAGCATGTTCCTCACGCCCTCGCCTTGGCTTTATTCAGATGTCTGTTTCAACTCTGAAACGCAGAACGGAATGAAAGCAGCTAGAAACAACTTCCTGCCAGGAAGCAGAAACAGGTTCGGAACAAGAAAACAGGGTGCAAAGGAGATTCAAGACCATTTCCCGTGCCACACAGTCCATTGGTTTGCATATCCAAATGTAGTCATTGCCAATTATGAAGCTGTCGTATACCAAGTAAGACCTTCATTCCATCTCGGCCCATATCATCTGTTCTGAGTGGCAATAAATTTCCAAGGTGGTGGAAATTTCTCAGCGTCTGCTACGTCAGCTCCTTTGAACCAGAAATGCCAAGGATTGAACTGTTAGAATTCCTGCTCCATGACTGCAGTTATGGGATTGTTGTCTTTCACATGACGGTATATGTTTTGACTCCACAGAGTGGGAAGTGACGGAAACAGGATGTTTGTGTTACTGTGTTCCATGAAGTGGGACTATTGTCCTTTGTTCTTTTTCTCTTTGCTGTCTGATGCTAGGGAGGGAGCCATGTTGCAGTGCTCCGTATGTTTATGTGTAAATAAAGTAGATTAGCCAACATGCTGAGTTGCTGAGGTCTGTCACGCGCATGATGCGCGAACTCTGCGGATCCCTAAGTGTGCCGGTGTCGGTTGGCATCGGTCGCTCTGATGTTCAGGCAGAAGAAAGCTTATGAAGATCCCAAATGATTGACCAGGAGGGAGAGAACATGCCAGTCGGGCATGTGTCTCTGCCAGGGTCCTACTCGAGTGTAGGCTGAACTCCTGACATGAACTAGGGGCCTTCTGCATGCAAAGCATGGGCTCTACCACTGGATTACTTATTTTGTGAGTAATCCTCAGTGGTGGTGCATCTCCAGGAAGGAGTTGGAGAGACCGTATCTGAAACCTGGGTCAGCTGATACCAAACAATGTAGACAAATACTGAGCTAGGGAGACCAGTGTGCCGAGCAAATAGAAGACAGTTTCCTCTATTTCCTATATTTCTCCCACTTAGGAATCTAGCATTTTGGAATGCTTTTCTTTGGCTTCCTTGAACCCACAGGGCAAAAGAGATATATTCTGTGCTGCTTGTGTCTGGATGTGGAGAAGAGAACACAGAGCTACAATTCACAGAGTTCCCTTTGGAGAGGAATTGATTGCATGGCAAGGCCCCAAACCCTCCCATACTGTTGGAATAAAGACACTAGACACCAGTATTTAAGGTTAATGGGCTAAAAAACGGCCACAACTGTATTGGTTACAGAATGTGACTGGTATTGGCTTAGGCATTGGAACCAAAACGACCATATCTGACCATATCTCAGAAGGGTAATCACCAGTAGGGGGAGCCCTGTTGATGCACATCAACTAGGAACTCCCCCAGGGTCACTGATGGGGTCGTCCCATGACCCTGGCCCCTATCTGGGCTTCGGACAGAGGACACACACCCTCCAATTCCTTTAACAGAATACCCTTGAAATAGGAGTATTTCCACTACCTCACCTCACCTCCAACCGAATACTCCAATGCCTAACCGCCAAACCTTATAAAGTTGTGACAATTTGCTACGAGGTAGGCGAAAAACCAAGTGGCTGGTGCCAATTTTCCAAGTAGAAAAAAATTCCTACCAGGCCCCTTCAACAGGCAACCAACCGAGGTCCATAGCAAGGTCAAAGGATTAAGAGCCTAACCATAGGGAGGGAGGGAGGGAGAACTGTGTGAACGGGAACCAGAAAAGGGGTGAATTCCCAGCCGCAGGCTGCTTAAATGGAGCCCTCCACTTCCCCCTGGCCGACCTGATTGGTCAGCCTAAGGAGTGACGCAGCCGGGGACTCCCTATGGTGCGGGGGCTAGCCACGCCCCCAGCGCACGAGGCGAGCTTGTGACTAGCCCGCAACTCCATTTCCCTGGCGAAGGGAAATGGCCTCATCAAACCAGCTCTGGTAGGGAAATAGGAGTCTCGTAACAACTCTCGTCAAGTCTAATAATAGCTGTGGATAAACCTATTCCTCATTCATTTCTCTAATCCTTTAAAAAAATTATCCCAGTAACCTTCACAACATTAATTGGCACTAAATGCCATGAGTTAATCATGCATTGTGTTAATTATAGTTTTTAATCTATAGAGAAGATAAACTGTTCTAGGGAAACGTCTAAATTTCCCTCCTCCTGAATTTCCCCCTGGATTTACTGGTTCCGAATTACCTTCTCCTGGTCATGGAGCAGTGCCAAGGCAGTTGTTTTCTGCTGTTCTTTCTGCCCGGATATTTATTTTTAAAAGCATTTGTAAAGATTATGATAAATGCATAGTTTGCTGTTGCTGTGGCTTCAAGCTCCTTTTGGCAGCCTCACCCAAATTGGTGCCATCCAGATGTTTAGAACTACAAAGTGTGGCCTTATGGGAGTTGTAGTCCAAACATCTGGATGGCAGCAAGTTGGGGAAAGCTGCCTTACATTAGCATTCATTTACATATGTATTTAAAATATTATCCTGTGTTTTTTTGCAAGAATTTAAAGCTCTAATAAGCATCACTGGGGGGGACAGGGACTGGTCCCTATCAAAGCAACATTAAATAAATCTAACAGCAATCTCAACTTCCTTCAAATGCATTCTAAAAGAGACAGATCTTGATGAGGCAAAAACTGAAGATGAAGCTAGCTGGGCTTCCTGGGGGAGAATATTATACAACTGAAAAAGTCCTGTGTGTTCTTCTCACCTACCAAACCTCAGTCAGTGGGTTAGTCTTACATAGAACATTAGAAGCTGAACAGAGTACATGGGAGGGAACATGCAGGAGATGGTATCTTTTTGGCATCCGTGCCCAAAGCTGTTCAGAATTCTAAATGTCAGAATCTGCAACTTGAACTGAATCCAGAATCAAATGCATAGCCCCTGTATGTCTGTTAGTACTGAAATTGTATGCTTCGTGCAACCGACTCCAGACAAAAATCTGGTATTGTGGAGCAAGGCATTTCGAGATGTTTTTCAAAGCCCCTTGTAGAGTGCTGCAATAGTCTAGCATGGCGATTGCTAAAACATGAATTGCAATTTAAATAAGCAATGCTCATGATCGTGTGCATGAACACACCAGCATTTATTTTAGTTAATGGAAAAATTCCGGCTTGTTATTTTGTGCGTTTGTTCACATCCTAAGTCAGAGATGGGATACCTGTGTCCTTCAAGACGAAAGGAAAAGTGAGATGTCTCTGTTCTTTCTTCCCAGATCTTCTACACTGGACAAGCTTAACTCCAGCATGATTTTCATTAGCTTATCACTATCACGGGGGGGGGGGGGGGGGATGGGAATGTTAAATCCTGGAAGGCTGGTCACTATGGTCCATGAGAATTAAAGCTATTCATTGTTTTCAAAACGAGAACAACTTATGTCTCTTTAGCACTGTTCTTAAAGGTTCACAGTTAAATGCTCTTCTGTAATTTATTCCATTCTTAGGGCTAGTTGGGACTCCAGATCTGTGGCTTTTTTCAAAGAGGGACAGAAGAGTTCCATGGTCTGCATGAATGATCTGAAGATACGATATCGTCAGATGAAAAACATCCAGAGTCTGCATAGTCAGTCATGCAGATGCAAAAGGTTTTCTTGTCAAACCTTGTTTATTCTCATTGTGCATGCATGAGCCAGAAACAGCTTGCCCACCATCCTCTGCACAAATGTATTCCATTGGTCTTTCAGGGGCAATTGTACGGGCAGGTGAAACTGTGCATTTCAGCTTCATTTGCAAGACAGAATTTGAGACAAGAAGTTTTCCTTGGATGGCAATGTGAAGCAAGATGCTAGATGAGGTGGACCTCTGGTGTCCTCCACAGAGCTTTTGCAATATTCGCCTTCCATTCTCATGAAGGCCAGAGAGCCAGCAGCTAGAATTGCACAGACAGGTGATCCAATGATGGAACTGCTTTATGGCTCTATGGAAGGGTGCAATGCTGTAGTTGTGAGTTCATCCCTCCCCTGGCTCAGTGTCTTTATTCATTTTTAAAGCAGGAGCTGCAGTTCACTGAGAATCAATGAGAAAGGGGCAAGGAACTGAAACAATGTGTGAGGCTGCATTCCTAACCCCACGTACTTATTCCCAAGTACCATTGAATTCGGGGCTCCTCCAGGCAACCTATTTATTGAGCATTTGTCCTGATTTGCTTGTCCAAAGCTTACACAGAGCTTAGACAGCATCTAGTCTTTGTGGAGCACTTGCAATGATTTGTTTGTGAAGACGTTATGCAACCAGGAGTATTCATCCTGATTTGCTTGTGGGGTGTTTGTATGTGTTCCCATTAATCATTTGTTCATTCCATACAGTTCAATGCATTTCACTTTTCTAACCTCAAAAAAGTCCCTTTCTTTTTTGAAGTGGGTTTGTTGCGCTAGGAAGACAGAACACTTAAATCCACTTTAATTGCACAAACTTAAATTTCCCAGGATGCAGTTAGAATTATATAATTGTAGAGTTGGAAGGGACCTTGAGGGTCATCTAGTCCTACCCCCTCAAAAACATCTGAATTTGGATGTGTCCTCAGGGGGGCTTACTTCTGAGTAGACATGGTTAAGATTGCGCTATAAATGACCCCTGCCCTCAAACATCAGAGTAAAAGTCCAGTAAATTTATTACAACTGTTACATGCTGTGTAACAACTTCCTTTCACCCCTCACTCAAGTGATCTGTGGAAATATATTGAAAATGGGGCGAGAGATTCCAGCACTAACCTAGGCTTCCACCACCCCTGTAAGACTGGATAATTTGACTTTCAATAGGTAGTGAGGTTTCTGTTTGCAAAAGAACTTCTTACCTCATCCCATTTTCATTTTCATGTTTGAAAATCCCTCCCGTCCAAACACATTTGTGTCGCTTCAAAGCTATTCTGTTCTCTCTCTTCCCCCCACCCCAACTTCCTTTTTGTCTCCAAAATCCTCTGATTTCCTTGCCCACACTGCCATTTAATCCCATTGGCGGTCACAAACCATGTGTTTGTGTGTTTTAATGTCATCATGATGACACCACAGCTGCTCAAGAACAAAATAATGTGGCAGAGCCAAAGAGGATGGGGAAAGAAGCAGTAGCCATGGGAACAACAAAGGAGGCCAAACAGACTCAAGACAGTCTTTGGCAGCATAAGTATTTTACCCATCATTTCTGAAGCTGCTTTAATCATGCTACTTTCTCCTTATAACATCAGAAAAGATTTGGCTAAGTGCCGCTATTATACACCACCCCTTACAACATCTCCAACTTTATTTGTGATTATTGGACTGTGTGATTTATAGCCGAGGCGACCACTATTCCCCCATTTGTCTGTGAATGTCATACATTAAAGAGCCCAGAAGAGTCAAGATTCTATTAGGCATCTCATCAAACTCTCAGTCAAATAAAATGGATTGATGCATGTAAAATGAACTAAAGGCTCTTAATAATCAAAGCAGCTTCCTTCTCCCAGGAGCACATGGATTTTTCAATAAAGGTCTCTACTCTGAGAAGCGTTTCAAAATGTTTGTGTGTTGCTTTGACGTCTGACCCCTGGAACCAATCTGGCATTTGTTGGGTTGTTCTTCCCCGCCACAATCTATATCTGCATCTATTTTTTATATTTAAAAAAATATAACTCATTGATTTTGGCTTATTTTCTACCCACACTGAAATAATTTTCTAACACATTTTTTATAGTTATTGGTTATTGGGATCCCTTGGGCCTGAGACAGAAGGTGCCTCCCCCACAATGAGTTAAAGAGGGACCATGACTAAGTATGCTTCTCTTTTCAGCTCATGCAGATTTTTATTTTTGACTAGAGACAACAGTGGAACAAATTTAATAAATATGTAAAAACCATGGGAAACAAAACTTCACTGAAGAAGGGATGTCAATCTGGGTTTCTCAGACTGGGTTTTTCCGATCGTAAATTCAGTTTTCCAAATTTCTACATCAGTTCATGATTTTCTTTTTAACTCCTCAACCTTGAGTTTCCAGATGGTGTTGGACTACATCCCCCATTAGCCCCAGTCATCTTAGCCAGTGGACAGGGATGATGGGAGTTGTAGTCCAACAGCATCTGAGACCTAAGTTCCAAAGGACTGATCTAGATGTGTGCTGAACTCCTACAAGTGCCTTGGAGTTCATTTCAATGCCTAAAGTAGCTGATCACGGGAGATGTAGATAACTTAAGTCCTAACTTAAGCGCCTTCACTGTATCATAGTCAGCTAATGTACATAGGCCACCTTATAACCACTTCGGGGTAACCTTTGCACTGAAAATATTCCACCTCTAACAGGGCTAGCCCAACTCTCCAATGGTAGTCTCTCTCACACACTTTAAATCTTATTTTTGTGAAAAGCTAGAAGCTCGCCATAAAAATGAAAGCAGAGATTCTCAGGATGCAGAATGCTGTGCTCGTTCAATATAAATGTCTATTTGAGTATAGTGTAATTGTACAAGGATGGAATGCTGAGAATTATAAATATTTCATGGGCGGGGGGGGGGACATGGGCCAGGTAAAGATTTTTTTTCTGGACATCCGCTGAGCTCATACATATAAACTCAATAACAAACCTTAAAGCAAGCTGTTATTTTGACCAGAAACTTTTTTGTAAAAGAAAATTGAAATAAAAGTGTCTTTTCCCCCCCAAATTGGTTGAAATCTATAGGGAAGTGGGGCAGGGGGGAGCCAAATGTACTGGTGGTAAGAGAACAATGTACTCTAAATCCAGGAGCTAATAGTATGTGAACTACATATTAGAGAGAGTAGTTGGGTTTGGTTTCTCCACTTGGGCACTTAGCATAAGTATTCAGAGTGAGCACACAGTGTGGACTGGAAAAGATAAGTGGCTTTGGGAGAGACTCGGGGGTCGGATAAAGAGATCCAAAAGGCCCCAAAGCCTGAGATTTGTCACCTCTGGCCAAGATCATTAATTACATTTGCTAGATCACAACCCAGAAATCTACCCTCTATTTATAAATTGCTGGATGCCTTGGGAGACAAGGCATCTTGCGCCTTCTCCCTGTCACTTGTAGCTCTTCCTAACCAGCACAGAGCATTGTCCTAAATGACTGGGAGACAGGGCCATCTTACCCATAGGTGCTAGGGGTGCGGGGCACCTGGGAGCAGGCTTTCAGGGGCGCCAGGCTGAGAGTCCGGGGCCCGAGAGTTGAGTTCGGGGAAGAGCCCGCTTGTCAGTCACAGCGCTGTGGCAGGCTCTTCTGCTGTGGGCGGCTCTGCGCCGCGAGTTCAGAGGCGACCTACCCAGTGAGACGCTGAGGCAGCCAGCCGGCACTGCCCTCCTGCGCGCCTGGGACTGGGCAGCCTGGGGGAGAGACCGGTGGATCTTTGCACCCCAGCTGGGAGAGGAACAAGGAGAAACCTTGGCTGCGGATGGTCCGCCCCCGCCACTTAATGGATCCAAATGGTTTCCAGAGAGTCGTAGGGGATGCTTTATCCCATGCTGATGGCCTTTCAGCTGATTCCCTGGTGGCCCGCTGGAATGTGGAGTTAACCAGGGCTATCGACTCTCTGGCTCCAAAGCGCCCTCTCCGATTGCATGGAGCCCAGACAGCCCCGTGGTTTTCTTCGGAGCTGAGGGCGATGAAACAATCGCTGAGACGGCTAGAGCGTCGGTGGCAGAAAACTCACTCCGAATCTGACCGGACACAGGTTAGAGCTCAATGTCGAGCCTACCAAGTGGCGATAGCGACGGCAAAGAAGACTTTCTTCACCGCCTCTATTGCATCTGCAGAAAATAGTAGCAGGAGACTCTTTCAGGTGGTTCGCAATTTAACAGAACCACCTTTACCACCGGGGCCTTGCAAAGACCCCAAGATCTCCTGCAACGATTTTGCAAAGTTTTTTGCAGATAAAATCACTCATATTCGGAAGGAGCTAGACACCACCGTGGGAGCAGGGCTGGGGCGGGAGAGTGCTAGAGCTCTGTCTGGTCAAGTTGCATGGAATCAATTTCAATCCGTTACCCCGAGGATGTGGACAGGCTGCTTGGACGCGTGAAACCAACCACCTGTCTCCTTGATCCTTGCCCATCCTGGCTAATAAAAGCAAGCTGGGAAGGGCTGGGCGATGGGCTCTGCGGGGTGGTGAATGCTTCCCTCTGTGAGGGAACATTCCCAGATCTGCTGAAAGAGGCGGTCATTAAACCGCTTCTTAAAAAACCATCTTTAGACCCGGCCAGTATGGCCAACTATCGCCCAGTCTCAAATCTTCCATTCTTGGGCAAGGTGATTGAGCGCGTGGTTGCTGAACAACTCAAGGCACGCCTGGAGGATGCGGACCATTTGGATCCCTTCCAATCGGGATTCAGGCCTCATCATGGGACTGAAACTGCCTTGGTCGCGCTGGTTGATGATCTCCGGCGAGCTAGGGACAAAGGTGAGAGTTGTTTCCTAGTTCTGCTGGATCTCTCAGCGGCCTTTGATACAATTGACCATAACATCCTTCTGGACCGTCTAGAGGGGCTGGGAGCTGGGGGCACTGTTATACAGTGGTTTCGCTCCTTCCTCCTGGGCCGTGTTCAGAAAGTGGTGGTGGGGGATGAGTGTTCAGACTCCTGGGCCCTCACTTGTGGGGTGCCTCAGGGTTCCGTTCTCTCCCCCATGCTTTTTAACATCTATATGAAGCCGCTGGGAGAGATCATCAGGGGGTTTGGACTGGGTGTCCATCAATATGCAGATGATACCCAGCTCTACCTCTCTTTCAAATCAGAACCAGTGAAGGCGGTGAAGGTCCTGTGTGAGTGCCTGGAGGCGGTTGGAGGATGGATGGCAGCTAATGGATTGAAGTTGAATCCTGACAAGACAGAAGTACTGTTTTTGGGGGACAGGGGGCGGGCTGGTGTGGAGGACTCCCTGGTTCTGAATAGGGTAACGGTGCCCCTGAAGGACCAGGTGCGCAGCCTGGGAGTCATTTTGGACTCACAGCTGTCCATGGAGGCGCAGGTCAATTCTGTATCCAGGGCAGCTGTCTACCAACTCCACCTGGTACGCAGGCTGAGACCCTACCTGCCCGCAGACTGTCTTGCCAGAGTGGTGCATGCTCTAGTTATCTCCCACTTGGACTACTGCAATGCGCTCTACGTGGGGCTACCTTTGAAGGTGACTCGGAAACTACAACTAATCCAGAATGCGGCAGCTAGACTGGTGACTGGGGGCGGCCACCGAGACCACATAACACCGGTCTTGAAAGACCTACATTGGCTCCCAGTACGTTTCCGAGCACAGTTCAAAGTGCTGGTGTTGACCTTTAAAGCCCTAAACGGCCTCGGCCCAGTATACCTGAAGGAGCGTCTCCACCCCCATCATTCTGCCCGGACGCTGAGGTCCAGCGCCGAGGGCCTTCTGGCGGTTCCCTCATTGCGAGAAGCAAAGCTACAGGGAACCAGGCAGAGGGCCTTCTCGGTAGTGGTGCCCGCCCTGTGGAACGCCCTCCCATCAGATGTCAAAGCGATAAATAACTACCTGACATTCAGAAGACATCTTAAGGCAGCCCTGTTCAGGGAAGTTTTTAATCTGTGATATTTTAGTGTATTTTTGGTTTCTATGGAAGCCGCCCAGAGTGGCTGGGGAAACCCAGCCAGATGGGCGGGGTACAAATAAATTATTATTATTATTATTATTATTATTATTATTATTATTATTCTGGTTTGCAACCTAGCAACCTGTCCCTAGTTCCAGAAAAGGCTGAAGGAGATGGTGTTGAAGAGATGTGAGGGGTAACATTTGGTTGCAAATGGACAACATGCCAGCATTGCCTGTAGGATCTGTGCAATGGGGAGTGTAATGTATCCGTTTGTGAATTATTACCATATGTAAGATTGTTTTTTTCCAGGTAATTTTTTTCAACATGATGTCAACATGTATTTCTGCAGGGCTAAGAGCGGAAGCTGTAGAGGAGGATGCCATCAGTGAGAAATAAAAAGTGCATGTTAGAGCTCATGGTTTGTTTATGAACTA